GCCTCCACCCGCCCAGCCCAGCTGCGTCCGCCGGGGCACACACAGGGTTACGCGCAGTAATTAACACATTTTTAAATTACACAACAGAAAGACAGAAAAGGAACAAAGTACAGCTCAACATACATAATAGATGAATCTTGCAAGTGTTATGTTGAATGAAAGAAAAGAGTATGCACTAGAAAACTCCATGTATACAAAATTCCAGAATAGGGCAAACAAATCTATGATGGCAGAAGTCTGAATAGTGAATGGATCCCTACCGAGGGTGGAGTTGTGACTAGGAGGGGACAGGAAGGGCCTGCTTCTACATCTAAATGCTGGCACATGCACGCGTTTACTCTGTGACGATCCCATGGCAGCTGCCGCACACTTATGACTGTGCAATTTGTGTGTGTGATATATTCCAGCAAACACCTGTACATATAACACAGAATTCTCTGCAGGACTTCATGTGGCACAGGAAGTGCAACACTTTCTCCTTTTTACCAGGTAGAATTCAAACTTCAAGGGGAAGTGTGTCAGGCACTGTGTTAATGTCTTCTCAGAAATCACCTTGTTAAACTGTCAGCACTGCCCATTGAGGTGGGTATTGTGATCCCATTTTACAGACTAGCAAATGAGGCTCTGAATGGAAGCATTTTGTCCAGAATGACACATCTGCTAAGTGGGTTATCGCTCTGATTAGGGGCCGGTGGTCTTTAGTTCTGTGTGATTGTGACAGGATGACGAGGACAGCCGCGTTGAAGTGGGAGCCTGGCATTAGGACAAATCACTGGAGCCCTGTGTGCAGACGTCTTCTCTGTGAGTGTGAAGTGCAAAATCTACCTTCTCTCGTGCTAGTCCATATGAACTCATCACTCCAACTAAAACTGAACTCAGCATTCTCCCCTCTAACTCCTCCGCGTCCCTCACATTGGCGTTATTTCTGTACACTTTTTCATAAGGCCTGGCATTGTTTCCAGTGTCATTTCATACACAAAACTTTGTCCACAGCAGGGTTTACTCTTACAGCGTTTGTAAGGATAAAAAACTTGTATCCTGTGAACCACCAATTCCATTTAATAATTTTACAGCTTTACTTGGGGCATTTGATGTTTTTACTTTATAGCAAATTAAACTCAGATCAAAAAATGTTTATTCAAAATATATGCACCCTGCCTAATTCCAAAAAGCTTTGGCTCATAATAAAAAGTACACATGAAATAAAGCTGAAATACACAATCTGCAACCTCATGGAAAGAGGAGGACCTAATTTAGGATCACACAAAGGCCATGGTTAAATATTAAATTTAGCTCTAAGCTTTCAGGAAGACAAGAAGTACATAAATCTCCTTTCCTGATAAAAGGAAATAGAGCAGTTTTTCACAGAAGACAATTTTCTAGATACCAATTTCCAAGAGGCATGCCAAAGAAACTTATACAAAAGGTTTATAATAAGGCATGCAAATTACATATCAATGTAGAGTGATGCAGAAGTGTCATTTAGGAGGGAAATCTTACAAACTGAGCAGCCTGGATTTTATTTTTATAGAAAGAGTTCCAAGGAGAAGAAGAAGAAAAAAAAGAAAACAGAAACAAAGAGAGATTTGGGATTTTTAAAACGTGGCAGAGAACAGGAGGTGTGGTCAGGACAGCAGGTCAGCCCTCAGGAGTCAGACAGCAGTGAGGGACCAGGCAGACCCTGTGCCGTCTGTGCCTTAGTTTTATGACCCAGAAAAATGCTAATAACAATACTTTCCCTGCCTACCTCACACAACAGCATTCTGTGCATGCATATTGCTCTACTGATGTGAAATCATCTAATCTCTAGCAGTGCCACCAAAATGGAAAAAAACACACCAGGCTTCCAAGGTTGAGCAGTAAAAATTTGTCATTCTCATTGCAACCTTTGCCTTGAGGGAGATTTCATTTGTTCCATTTACTGTCCTTTCCAATTTTTTCAGGAAGGGCATTTATTAGAAAATTTCAATGTGTGATGAATCAGCACAGAATCACAAAAATGTGACCTTTCATTATGAGCGGTGCTTGCCCAATATTCTGTCCTTCCCCTGTGGCACAAGGCCATAGCTAAATTCCCCACTGAAAGTTGCAAGAGACAAAATGTGGGAGCAACTCTCTCGGGTCTTTATCCTCCAAACTGACAGTCCTGTCTCTCAACCTAGAAATTACCAGTGAACCCAGGACTCTGTGTGTGCGTGTGTGACATGTATACGTGTAAATGCGTGCTCACGTATGGGTATGTAATCACCAAACAAGCAAGGCTCAGAATCCAGGAGATGAAGCATTCTCTCTTCCCTGAGGAGCCAAAGGCTTGTCCTTCAACTGGGGACCAATGCAGAGACCACTGCTGCTCAGATGGCAAAAGTTGGTGCCATGTTTGATTACAAACAAGCCAGTATTTCATCAATGAGCACCTGTACTCCTGTGCCTACCTAACCGTTGGCTGCACAATCCCCTATCCATGTGTCATTGCCCAACCAAATGTCCATCCTGAGGCAGAGGAGCAAAGCACCACTGATTAACAGAGGGGGGACATGGAAAAAGGCCACCGAGGCCACAGGCATCTCTCTATGAACATAAGCTGAAGAAGAGAAAGACCATGCCAATATTACAGATAAATACTTAAGAGTTTGAGTTTATATGTTCCCTAAAACTGAGCCGAACACACATTGCAAAGGGATTCATTGCCAACTCAGACCAGTTTAAAATATATTTACACATAATTTTTCTTTAAAAAAAAAATATTGTTGAAAGTATTGCATATGTTGCTCTTCCCACCCCCTCACCCCCCACTGACCTTTTTTAGGCCACCCCCACCCCTGCCCCAGGCCTTCATTATCCTATTGCCTGTGTCCATGGGTTATGCATACATGCATACAAGTTCTTTGGCTGATCTCTTCCCACCCACTCACCATCCCCCTCCTTCCCCTTGAGAGTTAGCAGTCTATTCCATGCTTTCTATGTCTCTGGATCTATTTTGTTCATCAGTTTATTTTGTTCATTGGATTCCACAAATGAGTATGATCATGTGATACTTGTCTTTCTCTGACTGGCTTGTTTTGCTTAGCATAATTCTCTCCGGGTCCCTCCATGCTGTTTCCAAGGGTAAGAAATCATCCTTTTTAACAGCTGCATAGTATTCCACGGTGTAAACGCACCACAGCTCTTACCCACTCCTCTACTGATGGGCACTTGGGCTTTTTCCAGATCTTAGCTATTGTAAACTAAGATGCTAGGAACATAAGACTGCATACATTCTTTCTGATTGGTGTTTCGGGTTTCTTAGGATATATTCCTAGAAGTGGGATCACTAGGTCAAGTGGCAATTCCATTTTTTTTTTTTTTTTTAAGAAACTCCATACATGTTTTCCATAATGGCTGCACAAGTTTGCATTCCCACCAACAATGTACTAGGGTTCCCTTTTCTCACATTCTCACTAACACTTGCCATTTGTTGATAATATTCATTCTGGCAGGTGTGAGGTGATACCTCATTGTCATTTTAATTTGCATCTCTCTGATGATTGGTGACTTTGAGCATTTTTTAATGTCTCTTGGCCTTCTGTAGGTTGACTTTGGAGAAGTGTCTACTAGTATTTAGGTCCTTTAACCATTTTTTAATTGGATTATTTGTTTTCCTTTTGTTAAGTTGTATGAGTTCCCTATATAGTTATTTATCAGATGTATCATGCCAAATATGGCCAAATATGGCCTTCCATACAGTGGGCTCTCTTTTCATTTTGTTGATGGTTTCTTTTGCTGTACAGAAGCTTTTTATTTTTATGTAGTCCCATTTATTTCCTTCTTAGTTTACTTTGCCCTTGGAGATGTATCCATAAACATATTACTATGAGAGCTGTCTAAGATTTTGCTGCCTATGGTTTCTTCTAGGATTTTGATGGTTTTGTGACTTACATTTAAGTCCTTTAGCCATTTTGAATTTGTTTTTGTGTATGGTATAAGTTGGTCGTCTAGTTTCATTTTTTTTTTTTTTTTTGCATCTATCTATTTAATTTTCCCAACACCATTTATTGAAGAGACTGTCTTGACTCCATTGTATGTTCTTGCCTATTTTGTCAAATATTAATTGAGTTTAATGGCTTGGGTTAATTTTTGGGTTCTCTGTTCTGTCCCAATGATCTACATGACTGTTCTTGTGCCAGTACCAGGCTGTTTTGATTACAGTGGTTTTATAGTGTAACTTGATATCTGATATTTTGATTCCTCCAACTTTGTTTTTCTTTCTCAAGATTTCTGCCTTATTCGAGGTCTTTTTTTGGTTGCATATAAATTTTTGGAGTATATGTTCTAGATATATGAAATGTGCCATTGGTATTATAATAGAGGTTGCATTGAAACTATAGATTGCTTTGGGTAGTATGGACATTTTAATGATATTGATTCTACCAATCCATAAAAATGGTATATTCTTCCAGTGGTTTATATCTTTCTCTATCTCTTTTTTCAATGTCCTATAGTTTTCTGAGTGCAAGTCTTTTACCTTCTTGGTTAAGTTTATTCCTAAGTATCTTAATTTTTGTTGTTGTTGCAATGGTAAATGGGATTGTTTATTTAGTTTCTCTTTCCAAGAATTTATTATGGGTATATAAAAATCTTCTGATTTCTGGGTGTTAATTTTGTATCCTGCTATCATTTATTAAATCTAGTAATTTTACATATATTTTTTACATAGCATTTGCAACATCCATGAGTTGTCAAACTGTTCTTAATGCTTTGAACTTGTATTCTAAACACAGTAGACCTCAGAAGAACCATCTTTTTAATGTAAGCTCCCAGTGGTGTTTTTATAAGCACTTGCATTAGAATCAGCTGGGAGGGCTTGATAAAATGCAGATTCCCTGGGCACTACTACTGGCCTACTGGGGCAGGCTCTCTGGGATGGACACTTAGGAGTTTCCATTTTGATTAAGCTGCTAGATTATATTTATGCACAATGCATTTCGAGAAGTTTATCAGAGTTAATTCAGAAAGGCTTATATCTTGATGGTCAGCACACCAAATGACAACTGGTGAGCCATTGGGGGAAACGGTGAGAGTGCACAAGGTGTGAATGTGCACTCTGGCCTTTTGATATACATGATTTGGGAGAAGAAAGGACAATGGTCTCATTGGCCAACCAGTGAACCTTAGCAACTTCAGTATTATAAACATGCAGCAATGAGGTAAACTAACACTTCATTGCCCTTCCCATTTGTGTTTTAATTCTGTTACTTTTCCCTTCTTATCCTATTCAGTTAGAGTTTAAACTTCCCACTGAGACCAGTGTTGCTTATACATAAGCCTTCAGTATTAATAATGTCCCTAAAATTTGGGAGTACCGAGAAAGTCTTCTGACCCTTGCTTCCTCTCTCATAATCCATCGGAATGACTACAGGCTGTGCTCCTGAGACAGGGTGCCATGACATTTCAGCAAACATGCCTGAAAGAAGATCCACCTGCTGCTGCACACGCCTCTGAAGGTGAGACCCACACAGTCTTCTCCACCCCCTTTATCTTGCTCCTCCCCTCCTTCCTTTCCTCTTTCCTTTATGACTTTATTTCACAGTGTGAGTGTACCCATCTCCTTAAGTGACATTCCTGATCCACCATCTATCTTAATACCAGCCTTCCCCATGCCCAGCTCTCCTCTCCCTTCTTTTTTACTTTCTGGCACATATATTCCCACCAGATTTGAAGGCATGAGAAGATGAGCTATGGGGGGAGAAGGATGGGTAACAAAAAGACTAAAAAGAAAGCATATCTGTTTCTAGTGTCTTTAAACTTTTGACCTACAAGCTATTTGACAAATCTGATACTCAGACTTATCTGTTTCTAGTGTCTTTAAACTTTTGACCTACAAGCTATTTGACAAATCTGATACTTTTTGTTCAAATTTTTACATTATGTATAATGACATCTATTATGCCATGACTCTTTACTTGTGAGATTCTGATTTTGAGGCATTTAACTTTGACATAGGCAGTGAAGATTATGCTAATCTGCTCTTGGTCAAAATTTCTCAATTGGGAAAATGAGCATTAAAAGTATGTTGTTATTAGAGAGAAAGAGAGAGAGATAACGAGAGAGAGACAGAGACAGAGAGAACAAAAAACCTCTTTATATCTAACATTCAGATCAAAAGCTTTTTATTTTAAAAATCCAGGGAACCTCTAAAACAGTGAAATTGCCAGGAGATACCATCATGAAAAGCAAATTTTTCAAAATTTTCTGTGTGACTTAAGCATATGTGGATTAAATCAAGTGGATAGATTTGCATCATTTTAGCTCCATCCAGCCCCATCCATACCAGGTTGGGGCTTACTTTTTTAAATTTAAATTTGAATTCTTTATTGTTTAAAGTGTTACATAAGTCTCTTTTTCCCCTATTGATCACTCCCTATCTGCTCCCACACCCCAGCACATGCCCTCACCCCCCTCCCCTGTCTATGCCCATTGGTTATGCTCATATGCATGCATACAAGTCATTTGGTTGATCTCTTACTCTCTCACTCCCCACCTTCCCTTATAGGTTGGACAATCTGTTTGATACTTCTGTGACTCTGATTCTATTTTTGTTCATCTGTTTATGTTGTTCATTATATTTTACAAATGAATGAGATCTTTCTTTGACTGGCTTATTGCAAAGTTTCCTGCAATTGGCCAACCATAGTCTCTCATTTAAAAAAAAGAAAGAAAGAAAAAACAAGAAAGAGCTTTATAAAGGAATCAAACAATTAACAAAAGCCAGAGGGAAGAGATTTACATTGCTAAAGGGTTTAAAATTGAAGTACTTTGACACCGGTGTGTGTGTGTGTGTGTGTGTGTGTGTGTGTGTGTGTGTGTTTCAATGGCAACATTTGTGTTCATAACAGATAGATCCTTTAAAAATATTGGTCTTGCCTGGCTTTGCATGAGACCTTCATCTGTACTCTTTGGCTATATCCAATCTTCCAATGTCAATATGTCACAGTTGTGGACCTTGAGGAAGAAGATTAAGAAAGGCTCCTGGTATCTAACTGGGTGCAAATAAAAAAATAAAATAAACAAACAGAAAAAAACAAACAAACAAACAAACAAAACAGCCATTTCCACACAGGGGCCTCTCATGCAAACTGAACTACCCGCCTCTGCAGTGAACTGCCTGCTGCCTGCACTGTGATTCTGCCCCCTGAGCCGGTCCTTATAAAGAAGTTCCTATTTCAACCAATTGGAAGCTTTTCCTATCCAATCAGAGATCCACAGCTATATCCCCCCATCAGCTCCTTTACTAACCAATTAGAGCAGCTCCATTTTGACCAATCAGGATAGTGCCCTTTGGATCAATCAAATTGTAAGGATTTGGAGTCCTCATTTGCCTGAGGATAGACCAATCAGGGGTGAGGGGCAAAGACTTCTATCTATATAAGTCAGCTCCCTTGTGGCTCTGCGCACACATTTTGTTTCCACCTAAGCTTGAAGATATGCTTCCCTGACAGGAGCTGAACCACTGAGACTGAAGCAGAGCAGAGCAGGCCAGTGAGCAGCAGAGCTGTCTAGCTGGAGAAGGGCCTGGTCTCACAGTCATGCTGTTTTCACAGCCAGGCTGTATCACAGCTGAGCTGTTTTTCACTGAGTCGTTTCCTTCTTCACAGCACCCAAAATCGGGGATTCCTGTTGGCATTGAATTGGCACCAACAAACATCAGTTGGCATGATGTTATCTCCCCCAGAACACAAAGCACGCTTCCGCCCAGCTTCTCTTCATGACGGTATTATTAGTTTCCTCCCCATACTAAGTTACTTCTTTGTGCACTCTTAAAGGGGGAATGGACAGACAGACTTTGCTTCATATCGTGGCTCAGCCACTTACTACCTGTGAGGCCTTGCAATGTAACTTCTCAAAAATCTCAATTTCTTGATTGGTAACAGGAAAGTAAGGTTTGTGGTGCTTAAATAAGATTTGTGCCTTGTTCAGAGCCTGACAGAAAAGGTTATTTCCCTCCTCTGCACCCTCTCCAGGACCAGCGTCCTAACGTACACTCTCCGTCCAGCTCACTGGAGCAGTGGGCACTTGCTATTTGGTTTGGACACTCAGCATCTCAACCCTGTCTGTGTTTGGGGAATTCCTGCTGAACGGGTTTTAGTGGGAGTTTTGCTGCCAAACATGCTAATCTAACCACAAGATGTGTAGATTAGTCTAGTCTTTGGTATTTCTTGATTCTATAGCATACAGCCTGGGCTCCCCTGCTCAGAAAGACCATCACCATCCTTTGGCCCAGGAAGGGTTAGGGCCCAGTCTCTCTGGTGAGGAACAGCACCAGAGGTGATTGGAAGGGTGCTTTCTTGGGGCACAGGAGGCATCAATGATGATGGCATTACTAATGCCAGAAAACCAAGTTCTGACAGAAGACATAGGACCACAGCCAACTATAGAATCCCCTCCCCCACCCCCATTCCTGGTTCCAATCACATGCATGAGAACAAATGGCAATTTACTAAAGGCAAAAAAAAGAGAATGTAATTTACAGATCCTCTAGTTGATAGAGCAGCAAGATAAAAGAATGATCAATGCAACAACCTGATTGCTTTTGAATAAAAAAGTACCTTTTTATGAAAGCTAATAATAAAAAAGAATATCAATAAGTCTAAGTATTGCCATGTTTTTAAATCCTGATTTGCAAGTGAACTATCTAAAACCCTTTCTATGTTTTCAGAACATGTAACTTGTAAGAAGTTGTGAGTCAGCTTCCACTATTTGTGTTCTCTTAGGAATGACACCACCACATCTCTACCTATAATCTCCACTCCCACCAGGCTTTCCTCCTGCCAGGAAAGGCTGTAAGGGGGCAGCTGAGAAAGCCAGTTCGGTCAATGAGTAGAGCTAGTACAGAGATGACTAGCAGCTGCAGCCTAGCCGGGTGCAAAGGCAGAATTTAAAGTGGAACAATCAAGAGATTGTTTTTAGAACTGGGGTGACATCATACACCATGGACCTTTTATTCATCATCTGTATGGAACAGAGAAAGAAAGGGTCACTAATTACAAAGAAACAGATCAGAGTGCAGTCCGGATTTTATAGCAGGAGCCTGCCCTCTCCTTGTTTGTGATGGTGTAAACAATGACCTTTTTATTGTCTCTGATAAAGGGTGCATGGGAACCGGAACAGCAGCGACAAAATCACCCTTATTTCTGTCTCTACCACTGGGCTTCTTGTCTGAGCCATTACCTGGGATAAGTAGGTTCCTTTAGATTTGTATGCTTTGTTTGTTTGTTTGTTTGTTTGTTTGTTTGTTTTTAGCCAAATTTACAATTACATCCTATGTTCTGAAATGCAGAGTTCTGAAAGACCTGCCTAATTATTGTGTTGTGCTTTTTAAGTACAGCTGGGATTCCCTGGGTCCCAGTGAGCCATGAATTAGATCAGAGGTCAGCAAACTCTGGCCCATGGGCCAAATGCAGCCACTGCCTGATTTCGTAAATAGAGCTGTACTTGAACCTAACCACACCCATTGTTTACCCAGGCTATCTTCTGTGGCTGCATTGGTGCAATAGGGATAGAGTTGAGTAATTGCAAAAAAGACTACATGACCTGCAAAACCTAAACTATTTACTGTTTGGCCTTTACAGAAATAGTTTGCTGACCTCTGAGTTAGATGCTTGTTTTGCCTCTCAGCAGTAAGGTGCCACTTTGCTTAATGTTGTAGTAATTTCTCCTGCTTCCCTGGCACTAACCACATGTTTGCATGGGGCAAGACAGAATCGAGGAGCAAATCAAGGGATGTTTCTCAAACACAGACCCCCTTGGAATTTCAGAGGTGACCACATGAGTGGAATTCCAACGTGAACACACATGGGGGGAGGACTAAAAACCCACTGGCACAATCATGGAAGGATGTCTTTCACAGTTGAGGGTCTGGGACTGTCTGTGTGACCACATTATAGCAGATCTCTAGTTTAAAAGTCCCAAAGTCCAATCAAAGTATATTGGTTGAGGATTTATCTCGGTTGTTGTTAACCCTCCCATTTTGGGGGGGTCGGGGAGAGTGTGACATATACACAGACTTCTACAATTCATTTGTAATTTCTGAGGGTTCTTGGACCCCCAAGAAGCTAATTCATAAACCCCAGATTAAGAAAAACTGATCATTGTGGGGGGTTTTTTGCTAGTTGTGGGACAAATTGTAAAATGCACTAGTCAAAGAACCTGTTTTCAATTAGATTAATTAACAATTAGCAAGTACTTACTTGAAATTAATTTAAAATTAACAGCATCTACTCAGTGCCAGATGAGGGGTACAGACTCTACGTCATTGGAATTGAGAGAAGAAATAGACTATTGTTCAGTAAGGTGAGAGAAGGGTTCACAGGTAAAATGGGTCTGAGACCCAAAAGAACAACTAGGTTTTAGACAAGCAGGAAGTAGGAGGGAAGATTGGACTGCAAATGTCCTCTAGGCTCAGACAGGTCTCATTTTCTCACTGTGGACCCAGGAAAGGGAGCAC